GTTAGCTTTTCAGAGACTGCTTGTGTTAGAGTCTCTCTAGGCGCTTCCCTCACAATACTGGCATAAGAGCTGAAGGAGAGGATGCCAGCTTGGGCCAAGACGAAGAAAGATGGAAAAGGGCAGCTAGTATTAGTAGCTGTAGCAGTTTTCAGAGGCGGGTAGGGGCCCTTGTAGAAARWGCGGCCACCCGTAGTTGTATTAGCTGTAGAGCGCTGAAGAAGTTCAAGCTCAATCTCAAAGTCCAAAAGCTAATTGAACCCATAGTTAGTATCCTCACAATCGCACGATGCGAATAGAGGATTACGCTGAGGGAGTCCAAGCGTACTTTCGCCTAGAGAAAGATGGGAAGGTTGAGAGAGTTCTCCATTCCTGACTCTCCTCGTTGAGGACAATCTCCCGTTTGATATGGTCCTAGGAATGCATTGGGGAGAGGCAGCAAGAACCACACTGCATCTAAGAGCATGAGTGTAGGTTTCTCAGTCCTTCAAGCACTGTCAAGACAGCCCGCCTGTTTCATGCGTCAGGAGTAGATAACTCCTTGGCACATTTTCTGTCTCAGTGCTCCCGCATTCGCCCGATTAGTAAAGGAGCACAGTTAGAAGAGCAGGTCTTTGTGGCCTATGTTCAGCCATTCACTCAGCCTAAGAAAGAGGAACCAACTAACCCTACTATTGCCAAGCTGTTGGAAGAGTACGCATACCTATCAGAGGCTCCATCAGGAGTGGTTCCTATCCAACACCGCATTGAGATAAAGCCTGGCAGTAAAACTCCCAAAGGAGTAGTCTATGGAGGAGCTGCACAAGCAATTGAACGAGCTCCTAAAGAAGGGTTGGATTAGGCCCGGCTCGTCTCCATTTGGAGCACCTGTTCTCTCTATTCCCAAAAAAGAGGGAGAACTTAGCATGTGCATTGGCTATAGGGGTCTCAACATCGTTACCATAAAGAATGCAGAACCACTGCCCCATATAGATGATATGTTAGATCAGGTGCAGGGCTGCAATTATTCAACAAGATAGATTTGAAGTCGGGGTACATCAGATTGAGGTCCACCCATGAACAATACAAAACGGCGTCCAGGATTAGATATGGGCACTATGAGTTAATAGTAATGCCCTTTCGACTAACCAACACCAGTTCCAGAGGAAGGGCTGGAATGCAACAAATGGGAGTGGATTGTCGTAAGAAGTCAATCTAGCAGCCGTAGAGGAGATACAAGGGAGAGCAATCGAACATACCAAATTAGAATATTAGGTTCGGGTTGCGGCCTTGACATTAGGTCCGGGATGCCGACTGCCTTGACATTAGGTCCGAGATGTCGGCCTTGACTTTAGATCCGGGCTGCAGGCTCTCAACTTCCAGTTAGGTTCAAGGTTGGTGAATACTTGATACTTTGGATTCTTAGATCAACTATCTCATTTGTTAACGTGCCTAGGTGCATGGGGACCACATCCATCTATGGATCGTAAATCAAGAGCGTACCGAGCCTCACCCGATCGTGCCCTACGAGATCTCAAAAAGCGCATTAGATAGAATAGGCCTCTGAGATGCATGGATCCATACCTGATGATGGTGTTGGGAGGTTCAATCGTCGCAAACACATATAGAACCGTTTCTATAATACGTACGAACAATGAACCCCCCAAGCTTCCGACGAGAGATGGGCGGTCGACGCTCACCAATGTATGAGCGTATGGAGATTAGAGGAGACAAATGTAGGGATGACCAGTACATTAGGGAACAATGTTGGAGAGATCACCATAGACCGATTGAGAGGACACCTCCACGACGGATCTATGATCCGCAGACTGGGGAATCTTACACACTGCCTTACGAGAGAAGGGACTGATACATCATTTCACACCAGCCGTCAGAATTGGACACTAGACCGACTCTTTTTCGGAGGCCTGCGACACTGCTCTCTCTCTAGCCTCTCTCCGCAAACTCCTCTCGTCTCCTGGACCTAACTCTAGGAAAGTCAAAGGTCGATTGAGAGCTGTTCTACGAGTGGTCCAATGGTCGTCCACTGACAACTCCTCGCTAGTGCTTGCATCACTCATGAGCTACAGTGTGTGTGATCTAAACTAGAATCCACACTGAATCCTACCTCAACATGACACACAACCGAGTATGATTCACAACTAATTTCGGTCGGCTTCGACAAAAACAGTTAGGTAGTTAGGTGTCAAGTAATGTCAGGTCCTACAAAGAATGTTAAATCTATTTTTATATTACTCTAATTCAGATTGCAATGCAGCAAACAATATACTACCCTGTCTGCAGTTGTCCGTCAGTTGTTAGACAAGTCCATAACAACTAAATAATCAAAAATAAAAATAATGTTCCCTGCAGAGATGTATGCTGAATGGCCATTTATCTAATTAATACCACTGCGAACGGTTGCTGGAATCCAACCCTTTCCCTGTATCCCTCTTGAGTAGTCTCTTTGTGTCACCACCCTGAGCATCTGGTTGAGCAGCGTGTCTGAAGGTGTGCAATCCGGCCCACCCTTGTGCCCCAAGTCTACGCCGAACCTGCCAGTCCGTGCACCTTATTTATCCTCGCATGCAACGAGCCTTACACCCGGTTTGATCTGGCTGATCAAGAGGCAGTTTTAGGACATCCCCCACGGTCCTCAGGAATTCTTCAACGTCGCAATCAGGACGACAATCACAGCCAGAGTCAACACCGAGTCTAGGCCAGAAATATTTAAAGACGGTCTGGTAAGCGCCTGTTCAAAGGGCTGGCATGCCCTGCATGACCTCCATTGTGCAGCAGCAGAACCAAGGACTTGCGGCAAAGCATGCGTGTACTAGTCCCAGCGGGTTGGCATGGTGACCGTGACCCAACTCCTTCGTCCAGGGCCCTTCAGAGGCATCGCCCGTATCCCACCAGCTTGCTGCCCAGGAAGAATGTCAACTCTCAAGGTTGAGCGCTCGCGACACCTCACATTGAGAGGACTCTCAAGACAAGACTCACTTCCTCACGGTAAGAAGTAATGAAGAGGGTAGATAAGGAAGAGAGCAACGTACCTCATAATGCTGCCCCCAACCACAGATTTCTCACCGGCAACCTGATGTGCATTTATGATGATCGGTCTTTGCCTCGGCACAACCAACAACAGAATGCAGTTCCACCTCGTCTTAAATGCCACATCAGGGAGCTCTCATCATCCAGCGTACACCCCTAATGTCACCACATAGCTTCCTGGCGCGCCCACACGACCCTGGGCTGCCTCACATTCCACGCCCAAGCCTTATCACTGCCCCACACCTCATGCGAAGCACCGAACAGCTATTGCGAGGAACCAATAAGCGCAGTTCGAACCAGCTCCGATACCAAATTGAAAGGGAAATGAGCAATAGCGAGATGACAATAAGCAGATTGCACAATCACATTGAAGGCCAGATAGTATCACACTGTCCAGAAATCAGAAATGCACCAATATAATACTAATGAAGATTCATAACACCGAAAACCATTGTCAATGAGAGCTTGCTCTCGCTACCACCAACATGAGTGTCCAGGCCCTATCTCCCTACTTGGTGCTCGGCGCCCAGCCTACTTCCTACACAGCTACTCTCTCTGCCAACTAATTGACAATGCAACTGTTGACGTCAGCAGCTTCCGAAGTACTTGAAGATGTTGCCCATGCAGACCATTGCCAATACCAGGTGTGTGCCCTCACATCATCATCATCATCCTTCTCTCTCCCCCTTGTCTTACTCCCACGTCTTCCCTTTTGTACACCCGAAGACCACCCCTGCGCCTCACTGTACAACCAAGCCCAACCAGCTATGGAGGCTGGGCTATGGCGCTGCCCCTAGCAGCGCCCTGCTCCCTACACGACCGCATGTGCTTGCACCTCGCCTCTCAGCGCCAGCAGCAGCCCACGAGGATCCGCTCCAGCAGCGCTGCCGCGAGCATGCGAGTGCCTGAATGAGGGGCCACGCAGTGAGCTCTTTCCTATATGGGAAGGGCCTGCCTGCCTTCGTAGACTGGCTCGCCTGGGCCTCGGCCCAGAAGCTTCCGGTAGGCCCCAGGATGCTACGCCTCTGATGCAGCTACTGGGCTTCATTTGTTTGGGCCTCCCAACTGTCTGTGTAGGAGGTTGCGAATCTCGCCCAGGGCCTGCGCTCTCGGAAAAGTCTAGAGGGCCGGGGAATTTTCCTCGCTGCTCGGCCTGTTTCCTTGAACCACCTGACGCGACAAAACTACCTGGATCCCAAGTACGAAATTGACAGCTGAGGGCTTCTCGTGATTTGTTAAGCCCGCCTTCACTTAGGACGGGCCCAGATGCAACAGGGGGCCCTTAGGCCTGCCAAGGACCGGGATCCTCGCATTAAAATGATTGTGGATGCTATCTATGAATTGCCCTCTTCTACGGGGACTCGTAAAGCATTGTGCAACATACGAGATTGGAAAAACACAAAATGCTTAGTGAAGGGCGAAGCTCAGTGTATAAGTGGCCCCAAAGTTGTTTTCAGTCATCGGATTCCAGTCGAACTCACGTGTGTATGTGCTCGATGTCAAAAGCGAGCCCAAGACTCGAGAATCCACACAGCACTAGATTGCCTGAGAAGGTACTCAGGCAAGGACGTAAACCTTCAGGAGACGATTCAATTACATTCGAGATTTGGGAACTGGGGAAATAACTCCACACTGGTACCAAGGAAGATTCAGAGATCCCATGGTACAGTTCACGAGTATTGCAACTGAGCTAGGCCATAGGCTTCCCCTTCCGGGCTTCATGATGCGTTTTGCTTATCGCTGGAACACAGAAAACCCACGCTGGCGCACAGAAAACCCACAAAACAGAGACAACAAAACCATCAAACCTAAATGTCTCCATAATAACCGAAAATGAAAATACTGATACATACATATGACATTCTGAAATAGGGAAGAATATCATGAGTCGTCGTCACAACGTTTAGCTTGCACTCAAGGTTGGAAAACGTAAAACCAACAGTGTCTCATGGCAGGGAAAATTAAAAGCTCACCATTTCCCTGATCATTGTAATCATCATCTGGTGCCTGCACAGAAGGCCAAAAAGGTCTATTATCAGGACTCGGGAGTGACATTGCAGGAGCGCATGGTTTTGAGAGTAGAACCATAATGTACATGCTGCAGATTTCGTTTTTCCTCTTATTATTTTGAATTTGGCTGTTTGGCCTTGTTTTTGCAATTGACCATTTCTTGTGTCTGCAATTGACCTCGGGGGATTTTTTTTCTTTTTTCTTTTTTTAAAGGCTATGCAAGGAATATGGGCGAGAACGGCATACAGAAATCCGAATTGCAAAATCACGAAGGAATATACCACGCAGAGAGCACAATGCACCAAGATACCATCCAAATAATAGCAATACAGTGATGTAAAATGTCAATGCCGACGCTCTCTGGCCACACCAACATAGTATCCAATGTCGCTCCTACTCCCTGGTGCCCAGTGCCCAGCCTAAACTACTCGGCCTATGCATCCCTATCTACGTTCAACAGGATCACTTCAACGTTGAAGACCAACGTACACGATGTCGACACCAATGCAGACCCCCAGCATACACCAGGTACGTTCTCTCTCCTCCCGTCATCACACCCTGTCTCCCCTCTGCATGCGCCTCCTACCAAAAGACCACCATTGCCATCACCTGCTACCGCAGGCTCGGCCCGGCTATGGCCGCTGTGCGCGCGATGCCATCGCAGCAACTCTCACCTCTTAGTGCCCGCGCGCACCCCAGCCTGCCTGCTTACCGCAACATCACACAGCAAAGCAGCATCGTGGCCAAAATGCCTACTCAGGCCAGTATACCCTCCCCAGGGGCGCACACTTTCCTTTATAGAAAGCTCGCCCAGCTGCTGGCCGGTCTGGGCCAGGCGTGTAGGGGCCCAGAAGCTTCTGGCTGGCCCAAAGTGCCTGCGCCCAGGCCCAGTTTCAGATACTGGCCTGGGCCTTGTGCAATTAGGCATGTCTGGGTGGCCCTCCAGGCTCCAAGTGTCTGCCGCTTTCTCATTGGCTCACGGTAGATGTGTGACGAGAATGCTGCATTCTCATTGTTCCGCGGCCACCGCGTGATGTGTCAGCCTCCCATTGTCTGTGCCAAGGGCGCAACCACTTGAGCCCTGGGCTCAACGGCTTGACGCAGCTGCTGCTTCTGGAAGGAGCCAGCAAGGCTCACGTTGCTCTGTAACCAACTGCCGTGCTGCAACTGTCTGATACCCAGCATATGAAAAATGTCAAAAATAGGCCTTACATGGATATACACGCCCACCTTCACTATGGCAGGCCCGAGGCTTGCTGCGGGCCGCAGCCTAGAAAATTTGCATGACCGAAAGGGCCTCGTGGGGCTCAATACTTGCATTTCCCCTTTAGCTTACTTTCATACTCTGCCACGATCTGAGGTGCCATACTGACAAGCTCCTCTTTTGTGAACCAACGACCTTCTTTCGAATAGGTATGATGCCTGAATCTGACCCAGTACTCCCTCACAGGTTTTGGCAGTCTTCCCCTGCCCACAGGCTGGGGAACAGGCAAGTCTCTCTGTTCCAAGATGTCATCGACGTCCTTGTGGCCATCCATGATTGGGGGCAGCATTGATCTCCTTCATGGGAACTTCTCTCAGCCAAAGGTGCAAGTTTGGAGGCGTGAAACACAGGGTAAGTCCCTAATCACATAGGAGGGTCCATCCATATCACTACCCACAATATCCAAGACTTCCCAAGGGCCAAAATATCTGGAGCTCCCGAATTCCTGCCCTGGCTCACTACCCTTGACCAAAACGCGTTCCCCTACCTGAAATGTGGACTGTTGTTACGGACACCGCCAGGGCTCCATCCCTGGTCTATCTTTTTGCTGTTTCTGCTGCATCCCGTTTTCGGCCTGGCACACTTTTTTCCAAACCCCTTTGGTACCATCGGATTTTGGACAACTGGCGCCATGCTGCAATTCGAGTGCCACTTTCAAATACCGCATTTTTCAGTTCTGCCCTCTGGGCTTCTGCAGAAATGCCCCTGGTACCCTATGTGTCACCGATACTTATACCAACTCCCCGTACAGTACGGGGACCAGTCTCGGACCAGTTTTCAGCTGCTGTACTCGTACCCAGTGTGTTCTTTGCCACTGTGTCTGCGTCCGTCGAGTCCCTCATTCGTGTCGAGTGAGTGAGTGTGCTCTCTCTCTCTCTCTCTCTCTCTCTCTCCCCACTCCCTCGGCTCTCCCTGTCTCCCCCAGCCTCGCACTCGTTACACTGGTATCGGAGGGGTTCGAACCCGCCCGACCCACCCTGTTTCGTCATCATCGCCTGGCCGTCATCATCGTCATCGTCGAGATCGTCGCCGTCGTGCCATGTCATCATCGTCATTGTCGAGATCGTCGTCGCCACGTCATCATCATCATCGTCGAGATTGTCGCCATCGTGCAACGTCATCAGCATCATTGTCGTGATGGTCGTGGCCGTGCCACGACATCATCATCATTCTCGCGATCGTCATTGGCGCGCCAGGTCATCATAGTCGTGCTCCTCGTCCTCGTCACCGTGCTGTGCCATCCTCATTGTCGACGCCATTACACCGCGCAGATAAGTAATCGACGAAAATTTTCTTTTTTTTCCCTTTCTTCTTATTTTTTCTTCCTCTTTTCTTCTTTCTTCTTCTTCTTCCAATTATCTTCGTTCTTTTCGTTTCTCTTCTCTTTCTTTTACTATTCTTCTTCCCCACGATTCTTCCTTCCCCCCCGATTCTTCTTCTTCTTCTTCTTCTTCTTCTCCTCATCATCATCATCTTCCTCTTCCTCTTCTTCTTTCCTTTTCCCCCACTACCCCCGACGACTTCCCCCCTCCCCAGACCCCGATCTCCCACTCCTGTTCCCGATCCCGACTCCTCAACCCCCCCCCGTTGCTACTTTCCCCCCGATCTCATCCCCCCCCC